ATCTACTGTATCTGAACTCACCGAAAACAAGTCAGGACCATAACCTGGAATAGAGCTGTATTTTGAGGATGTCATTTTTCTACGGAAATAAATAAATATAACTCCACAAAGAAGAATAAGAATAATACCAAATATCCCAACTATATACTTTGCTTTAGACGTAGAATTAACAACAGTATTTACTGATGTTTGACCAATAACCATTTCATTTAGTAAAAACAGGAAAACAAACATTTGATTAAAAAGATAAAAAATTCTTAAAAAAAATAAAAGAAAAAAAAAGAACTTTAACTCTTAACCGTTCTATGGCTTCTCAAAAAGTTGATATCTTTGCTGGTTTGGAATACAATTCTTCACGTGCTCAAAAAAAACAAACTATTAATGTTTCTCAACACTCTCAACCCATTCAAAACAACCAGTTTTCAAATACTGACATTTTATTCCAAACACAACCAAAAACTACAACACCTTCTAGTGATGATATCTTCAATTTGCTAAACGCCCCTACTAAAAAATCTCCTTCTCCATCTTCCCAATCTTTTGACTTCATTCAACAACCTTCCTCTTCTAACAATACCCAAACAAAAAGTCCTTCTTCTTTTGATTTTGATAAACAAATTCTAACCCCTTCGAAATCTCCTTCATCTTCTGTAGTATTCGATTTCCTTACTAATACATCACCTTCAAATAGTCCGTCTTTTAGTTCTTCTCAAAAAAAATCTTCTACCACTTCAACAGTTGATTCAAATGATATATTTTCAGGTCTTTCTTATTCTGCACCAAAGAAACAACACAACTCAAATTCTCAACCACTTACAAATACACACCCAACACCTTCAAACACTTCTACATTATCTAATTCTACTACACCAATAAATGGAAATCTTTTTGAAACCCCTTCTCCAACTACATCAAATGATCTTTTTGATGTATTACTAAAAAGTCCTTCTAGTAAATCACCTGCTCATGCCCCAGAAACTGTAGATGAATTATTTTCTTCATCTAACTTAAATTCAAATACTCATAACCAATACTCAGAACCAATTACACAACCAGTTACTCAAGAAGAAAAGAAAGATTCTGGAAATAGTAATATAATAGATTTCTTTGGAAGTTCTCAACCAACTCCATCTACTCAACAAGAAAAGAAAGGAGATTTTTTGGATAATCTCATTGGCGGAGAAAAGAAAGAAGAGGAAGAAGACACAAGTAAAATTGTTTATGGTAAACAAGAAAAACTTACTGTTGATATGGTTAATGAATGGGCTTGTGAAAAAGGAACCAATCAAAGAAAGAACATTCGCTCATTATTAAAGAACTTAGATGAAATCTTATGGAATGACCAAAAATGGAGAAAACTAGGAATGTCTGATTTGTGTGATTTTGAGGGTGTACAAAAATGGTATAAAAAGGCAGTTATTTTAATCCATCCAGATAAAAATCAATTCAGAAGTGCTGATCAATTAGAATGTGCCCAAGTTCTTTTTGATCACGTTAGAATGTCTTATAACATTTTTAGAAAGACTGAACGAAAATAATTCATTATCTCTTTTTTTAAGATTTACTGTTTTTAATAACATTAACTTCAAATAAAAAAAAAAACAATCTATAAATTAAAAAAGAAGGGGAATAAACTCGAAATAGAAAGGTAAAAATAGAAT